AAAAAGACATTTTTAGGTGAAACTGGTATGTCTTAAAAATATAAGAGCATGGTGGTGAAAAAAACAATGATGATAAGAATGGCTCTGTGCCACTGGACTGATACATGCCAAGGTAACACTGCTTTTGTTCTGCTGGTACAAATTCAATACGGTAAAAAAGCAAACACAGTTTTCCTTGATCAACACAGGTGTGAACTGCAGGGACCCACTTATGTGCTTATTTTCTTCTGCTTCTGCCACCCTGAGACAGCAAAATCAACACACCCCTCCTCCTCAGTCTACTCAACGTGAAGCCCATGAGGATAAAGGCCTTCTCATGCTGATCTACTCTTCCATTTAATGAACAGTAAGTATATTTTCCTTATCAATTTCTTAGTAACATTTTTTTCTCTAGCTTACCTTATTGTAAGAATACAGCCTGTAATACACAAAACATACCAAACATGTTCATTGACTGTTATATGGGTAAGGCTTCCTGTCAACAGTTAAATTGTTCAAAGTTAAGCTTTGGGGCAGTCAAACAATATATGCAGACTTTCAACTGCATAGGGGGATAGCACTCCTAACCCTCATGTTGTTTAAGGGCCACTGTAATGTCTTGCATAGTTACGAGAGGTTTGACCTCCCAGACCTCCAAGAGTCTTGGAAAACCCAGGGATCTCTGGGTCACACTTTGAAGCCATTGGTCTAGAAGATACTTATTAAACAGCCAATATATACATTCCAGCTGACTTGCACATTTGATCCTATATTTAGAAAAATTTAAGAGAGAAATGGAATCTCTTTCTCCATTAGAGGTTGAGGGAGGAGGTGAAAAAGATACACAAAGCTCCAATTAAAATTTTTGATTTTCTAACATAAATCTGATTTATGAAACCACAAACATAATTATTATGACAAAACCCAGCTTTTTTTAAATTTTAAAAATGTTTTATATATCCAAGTTAATCACTCTCTAAAGAAAAGGGAAATCTTAAAAGACAGTTTTGTACTAACTAAACTCTGAGAGCAAACTAGAACCCCAGAAACACATCCCAAGACCAGAGCACATCTTCCTACCTCTGCCATCTCTTTGATTTTCTGCTCATAGAACTCCTGCTCTTGCTGCACAGCTGGGAGGAGAGCACGCCGGTCATAGGACCTACAATGTCGCCGCTTATTTTCCAGAAAGAACATCCTCTTTTCTATTTTTATGTCACCTAGAAGATATATGACAATGCAAAAGCATGCAGACAAGCGTGTGTTAGGAATCTGGATCAGTCATGTCCTTTTTTCCGGGCCTCATCCTCCACCTTGTGCTCTCTGGTGGCATGTTTCATGATTTCTGTATCACATTTTACCATTTGGAAAGACTGAGCTTCATACCATTTGCCAACCTACCACCCCTTATTTGATCTTTCTGGTTTTTTCCCTCTGTTTATGCTCCAATTGGAAGGCATCTCCTGTCAGAAGTGCACTATGTGAATATACCACAATTTATTATCTATTTCGCTACTGAGGACATGGGTTTATTGTTTTGGGTTAGTCTGAATAGTGCTGCTTATAGCTATTTGTTGGTGAATGTATGTCCACAATGTAGCTGGGAATTGCTTGATCATGGGATAGGCTGACTTTCAGCCTATCAGAAAATAATACCAGTTTTCCATTGTACCTGTTTACACCCTTCCTCTATCAGCAATGCATGTGAGTTCCAGTCTCTCCATGTCCTTACCAATACCTATCATCAGTTTTAAATTTTAGCCATTCTGGTGGGTGCAAAGGTGCTGAATGTTTTTCAATCATTTTTATTTTGAAAGCATTCAAATATATAAGGGGCTGAAGGAATAGAGGCTATATTCACCACAGTATATTATAACATGAGAATAAAAGCAGAATGACAACCGATGTATAATTGATCTCCTCAGGTTTTGTATTTCTTTTGCTGATTTGGTAATTTATGATTTTTTTTTTTTTTTTTGAGACAGAGTCTTGCTGTGTTGCTCAGGCTGGAGTGAAGTGGCACATTCATAGTTCATTGCAGCCTCAACTCTTGGACTCAAGCGATCCTCCCACCTCAGCCTCCTGAGGAGCTCAGACTATACAGGCAGGTGCCACCAAGTCCAGCCAATTTTTTTGTATTTTTTGTAGAGATGGGATTTTGCCATGTTGTCCAGGCTGGTCTTGAAGTCCTAAGCTCAAGCAATCCACCAGTCTTGAGGCCTCCCAAAATGCTGGAATTATAGGTGTGAGCCACACTGTCTGGCCATATTATGTTTTACTAGAAAACTTTATCTCATCTAGATTTTCAATTTATTGGTCATCTCTTGATGTTAACATTTACCATCTGGTTCCCAATATATTTTATTTTGATTCTCCTTTTCTCTTGCTCATTCTCACTAGTTTAATTTAAACTTTTTCTTCAGAAAACCACTTTTTGGGTCCTGGCACAGTGGCTCATGCCTGTAATCCTAGTACTTTGGGAGGCTGAGGTAGGTGGATTACCTGAGGGCAGGAGTTCAAGACCAGCCTGTCTAACATGGTGACACCCCGTCTCTACTAAAAATACAAAAATTAGGTTTCTCTGCTGCGAGCTTCCAAAATGACAAAGAAAAGAAGGAACAACGGTCGTGCCAAAAAGGGCCGCGGCCATGTTCAGCCTATTCGCTGCACGAACTGTGCCCGATGCGTGCCCAAGGACAAGGCCATTAAGAAATTCGTCATTCGAAACATAGTGGAGGCCGCAGCAGTCAGGGATATTTCTGAAGCGAGCGTCTTTGATGCCTACGTACTNTGTAATCCCAGCTACTCGTGAGACTAAGGCAGGAGAATTGCTTGAACCCGGGAGGCAAAGGTTATAGTGAGCCAAGATCGCACCATTGTAGTCCAGCCTGGGCAACAAGAGTGAAACTCAGTCTCAAAAAAAAAGATTATCTGATAAGTACAATTTAAGAATCAGCATCTGTATTAAAGTGCTATTCCTAAAACAAGGGACTGAACCAAATAAAATGAAGTTTACAGGGAAAAATGTGAGATGCAGCAAAACCTAGAGGTGCATGACTTGACAGCAATGTGGGTGCAAAGACCAAGGCTGAATATGAGCAGACCTCATGTGGAATATGATGTCCCGTCTTGTACACCCCAACTTTCAAAAAGACCCTGACAAGCTAGAGAAGAGCACACAGGGAAGGGGAGAAGGGCAGTCAGGCTGATGAAGGGGAAACAGCCAGAATCTGTCACTCCAGATTCCACCACTGTACAGTGGTAAAAGGCAAGAACAACCACCATGGCAGGACATTTGAGGAAAGTATATACTGACTTAATATAAAGGAAGAACTGTCTAAAAGATAGAGTTGACCAACAAGGGAGTAAACTATCTTGCAAAGTAGTACTTTCTCCACCACTGAAGTCAGACACAAATGCTGTATGGCTACGCCCAAGGATGCCTGTTGTGACCTCTGGGTAAATTTGGCTGAATGAAAACCCACCTGCATACTGTCCCTAGTTCTACATTCTGCCACAGGCCAGGGAGAATGTCATGTTAGCAGAGCACTGCTGCACAGTTTGGCTTAGCAACCTCAGGAGTCATAGCCTAAGGGAATTTCTTTTAGCTACTGAAGAGTTCATAGTAAATTCAAATTCTTTCCAACTTTACAGTTACCCAAGTTTCTACTTAGTCATACCTGAAATCAAGTGCAGTAATTAAGTACACATGTAACAGAAACGCAAGAGAAAAGGAAAGGGAAATGTTCCTGTTTATGGCATGATCTCTAGAAAAAGTTGTAGTAAACTCCTTTACTGGGTACAAGCAACTCAGATAAAATGTTATAATTCTCTCAGGTGCGTAAGTGACCCTCTGCAGTAAGCCCTTATGCATAAGTCCGGGTAGTTTTTATCTAATAATACAGCCAATTATCATCAAGCCTTCAAGACCAGTTTTTTCCCCCAAGCTTAACAGCATACCCAAATATCTTCCCACACATAAATTTTCTAACAGCACACAAATTTTTTCTGTCATAGTTTATCTTAAGTACGAAGAAGGAAGCCAACAAGTGCAGCCACTTTCTAAAAATTCTGATGTGCTGTGAAAGTAGTCGCTGTCAGTCACTCCTTAGACTGGCCTGGTCAGATGCTCGGCAGACACATGCAGCATGGCTTCCTTCACTGTCTGTGGGAAGAAAAGGTACAGCGTTGCAGCTACACACTGCCAGCAACATGGTTTGCATTACCTTGTTCAAACTTGAAATCAATGTAAGAATACTGATTCATTTCTTTTCTCTTCTTCCTTTTTCCACTGGTTTCTGGTGATAGCTCCTGCCATTTTTTAATGGCATCGGAAAAGGCCTACAAATTGAGAAAGGGAAAGGTTACCTCTATAAATGGAAAATAATACTTGAAACAGGCAATCCCCAAATGCCATTTAACAGTTTCAACTTTCTTCCCAGCATGGCTAACAAGAATAGGCAGTGGCAGCTGGGCGTGGTAGCTCATGCCTGTAATCCCAGCATTCTGGGAGGCCAAGGCAGGTGGATCACCTCAAGTCAGGAGTTCAAGACCAGCCTGGCCAACATGGCAAAACTCCGTCTCTACTAAAAATAGAAAAACTGGTCAGGTGTGGTGGTGCATGCCTATAATCCCAGCTACTCCTACTGAGGCAGGAGAATCACTTGAACCCAGGAGGGGGAAGTTGCAGTGAGCCGAGACTGCACCACTGCACTCCAGCCTGGGTAACAGAGTGAGACTGTGTCTCAAAAAAAAAAAAAAAAAAAAAAAAAAATTAGCCAGGCATGGTGGCACACACCTGTAATCCCAGCAACTCGGGAGGCTGAGGCGGGAAATCACTTGAGCCCAGAGACGAAGGTTACAGTGAACAAAAATCACGCCATTGCACTCCAGCCTGGGTGACAGGAACAAGACTGTCCACCCCCCGTAAAAAAAACCAAAACCCAAAACAAAAACCCCACCGTTTTTGTTATTATGAGAATAGAAACACATATATTTAGAGAGTAAGCTTTGAAGTCAGATTCCCAGGTTGGCTACTTGCTATGAAATATCTTGCAAGTTACTTAACCTCTCTGTGCTTCAGTTTTTTCTGTAAAATGATAATAACGGCACATACATATCACAAGGCTATTTGAAACATAAGTTAATCCATTAAAGCACTTGGAAAAGTGACTGGTACATATTAAGAACTCAATAAATGTTAATTACTATAATTATCAAAGACATAAATTAAAATTTTTTTCACCTTCTATTATTTCTTTCGTCTTTACTCAGTTCTTTTTGTAGTTTATCATGTTCAAGTAGTAAGAGTTATCTTCAATCTTTTATTTTTAAAATTAAATGCAATTAAGTCTATAAAATTTCCTTTAATGCATTTTCCTGCATGACCATAAAAAGGACAGAGCAGGGAGAACTCTATTTCACTCGAGTCAACCAATTATAGCCCAAAGAGCAGTACTTAGATAGAAAACAAACTGAAAAGGAGAAAAATGGGATTCCTGGAACAGATGAGGGA